GGATATTGATGCTAAAGATATGTAAGGTCCAGAACAAGGTCGGTTGATACATTATTTCTATCTATGTATCTGCACATGTGTGATTGTTTTATTTGTTCTCTTATTGTCGTATTTAATCTTCTGTAATTCTTCCTACACAATATTACTATACACTAACACTAATTGTTTAATAACAACCTCACAGCTGCAAATGTTGTTAAATCGTATAAAACAAGATGCAGCCCACGAACCCGAATGCTCACACGTATGTTAATGGTACAGATGTCGAAACACATGGATATGCAGTCACGCAGAACACTTTCCTGCAATAGTTTATTTGAACAGTCTTGTACATATTTCCCCTGTAACCAGTCGGCAGTGTGGAGTGGAAAGTGTAGAGTGTGGAGTGTGGAGTGTAAAGTAAGGAGTGTGGAGTGTAAAGTGTGGAGTGGGGAGTGTAGAGTGTGTAAAGTGTAGAGTGTGAAGTGTGTAGTGTAGAGTGTAAAGTGTAGAGTGTAAAGTGTAGAGTGTGGAGTGTGGAGTGTAAAATGTGGAGTGTAAAGTGTGGAGTGTGGAGTGTAGAGTGTGGAGTGAGGAGTGTAGAGTGTGGAGTGGAAAGTGTGGAAAGTGTGGAAAGTGTGGAAAATGTGGAAAGTTTGGAAAGTTTGGAAAGTGTGGAAAGTGTGGAATGTAGAGTGTAAAGTGTAGAGTGTAAAGTGCAGAGTGTAAAGTGTAGAGTGTAGAGTGTAAAGTGGAAAGTGTGGAGTGTGGAGTGCAAAGTGTAGAGTGAGGAGTGTAAAATGTAAAGTGTGGAGTGAAAAATGTAAAGTGTGGAGTGTAGAGTGTGGAGTGTAGAGTGTGGAGTGTGGAGTGGAAAGCGTAGAGTGTGGAGTGTGGAGTGTAAAGTGTGGAGTGTGGAGTGAGGAGTGTGGTGAGTGTAGAGTGTAGAGTGTAGAGTTTGGAGGAATGAGGAGTGTAAAGTGTGGAGTGTGGACTGTAAAGTGTAGAGTGTGGAGTGTGGAGTGTAGATCTGTTGGGATATATATATATATATATATATGTATGTATATATATATATAAATATGTAATCTACTATACAGTATATAATGTTTGTTTTTGTCTCAACATGGTTGAGTTTCCCTTTTTCTGGCATTCTTGGTGGGGAAAATGGCACAGTGATACCCCAAGAATTGATCATGTATCCTTTGGGACGCCTTGGCAAATGGGCTGATGGGCTACTTTTAGACCAATCGGTTGGAATTCCGAATCTAATCTATCATGTTGCTAATGCACAAGTTGTTGTTCTGTGGAGGGGTGTTGTTAAAGACGACTGATGTTGGATGATATCACCCTGGTCGTTTGCCAATATCTTGAATAGGACTGGGGACATCTTTCTGGGGCAACCAGAAACAATGGCGGACATGTCATCATTACCCGACGGAAAGATGTTGTTTGTTGGGTATCTCAGATCAGCCATGGATCCCACATCTGAGGAACATCCCAGACTGGTTTCATCCATGGATCCCATGATCCCATGGACAGGTACTTTGGAGCAATCTGGGAAAGCACTGGCAAGGGCACAAGATTCTCATCACCTGGCCTGCAGGTTCAAATGCGGCGATTCGGACATATTTGAACTGATCCCAAAGCTTCAAATGCTGAATTGGGGTGGGAAAAAAACAGCGTCAACGATGAAATATCCATGAAGATCCTATATGTATTATGTATTGAGGTTACAATCCACCTAGGCAGTTTAGCAACTGGGGAATCATGATACGACAGGTTTTGACTAGTTATGTTGCAATCGGGTTTAAAAGCTGCGCAACAGCAGGATGTACCAATAGCAGAGGAGTTTTTAATTATTAACACCAGGAGTTATCCATTTTGGGGTACCCCCATTCCAAGAAACCCTCATATCACCATGACTGGTTGGTGGTTTGGAACATGGCTTTTATTGTTCCATTCAGTTGGGAATGTCATCATCCCAACTGACGAACCCCATCATTTCTCACAGGTGTAGGTCAACCAGCAACCAGATGAGTTTAACCATGAGTTTAACCACGATTTTCCGCATGGAAAGGCGAGGAGAGCGCCCGCTTGGTGCGCGACATGGGCGACGCGAACTTCCGAGGGCCGCTGGCGCCGCAGCAGCTGGCGGCCTTGAGGCGGATGGCGGGTTGGAGGGGTCAACGGGGGAGGTCGTTTCGCCAGGGACATCACCAGGGCCCCAGTTGACCCGGCCTGTTAAACGGCCACAGAACTATGGAAAATCACAATGTTTAATGGGAAAACTCACTATTTCTATGGCCATTTTTAATAGCTATGTTAGTTTACCAGAGGGTACATCAGTTTACCACGTTGTAGCAATGCAGTATACCTGGACATTGGTAAAAAACAGGTGAAACAACGGGTCACCAAAAGGTCTCAATAATAAGAGTTGAATCTCCAAGATTGACGTTGTATGGTTAGGTTTGAATTTCTACATTTAACAACACAATATGGTAGAATGATATTGACGAAACAAATGATAATGCAACACAAACAAAGTACAAAAACAGGAAACATAGAAAACATCAAGAACAAAAGGAGGGGGTGAACCGCAAGAATGGAGGGGTTAACTATGAAAGATGGGACTTAACCCGGATAAAGTTGGATTTTTTCAATATAAATGGGAAGACCATCGGTATTTTATATATATATATATATATATACTGGTTGGTGGTTTCAAACATTTTTTATTTTCCATAATATATGGGAATAATCGTCCCAACTGACTAATATTTTTCAAGAGGGTTAAAACCATCAACCAGATATAATGAGGGATTTCAACCATTAAAGACATGTGATTTTCCACCAACAATGGGCTGATGATCCCAAACCAAGAAGGATGGAGATGTCGTCCCAATGGAGATGTGGGGATATGACAATCGGTTGCATCTACTGGGATTTTTTTGATGTGTAGAAAATCACCGGGATGTATATGTGGATTTGTCTGAAAAACTGGTATGCAACCTGCTCAACTGCGCATTTAGGCATCAACACTAAGGATGATAAGGATGCAACAAATGAACAAAGGAATTAGATTTGTCTGAAAATGATTGTTTTTCAAAGTGGCCACCATAAGAATGCATAAACCATTGCTTGATTATGGGACGCAAGTGGAGCATCCCAAAAGTGCATTCCCATGTGCCATGATCACTTGGTTTTCGCCATAACGAGCAGGAGATTGGCTGTTCTGGTCGTTGGACATGCCGTGACATACTGCTGATCACCATGGCTAAGATCACAATTTTTGTTGGTTCAATCATGTTTTTCCATATTGGTTACTGTAGCGGTGAACGGTTTTATTTTGTTTAATCCGTCCATGTTCTGCAAAAAAAACTGCAAAAAACCGCCAGATGCGCCTCAAAGATTGCCTTGCTGAGACCTGGGGACCTTTTCCTTTGCAGTGGAGGCACTTGCGGCTGCAGAGCTGGCTTGCATGTGAGGAAATTCATCGAGAAACATATGGATTTAAGCGATAGAATGATGGGATCAAATCAATATGACTGCTGATGCAATAGGAGGTAATGATGTAAAAGAAGCCAGCCATGTCTACCGGATATATATGGATTTGAATCGATTTTGATAATGGGAATGTAACTAACCACATTATGATGCTTAGAACAGCATGGTCGTTGATTAGAGTGTGGAGTGTGGAGTTAAAGTGTGCAGTGAGTTGTGTAAAGTGTAGAGCGTGGAGTGTGGAGTGTAAAGTGTAGAGTGCAGAGTGTAAAGTTGGAATGTCACAAAGTGCCACGCCTGCCACGCATAACGACATGACAACCTGCTTGGAAACCTTTGAAAAGGAGAGGTTTTGCAGCTTCCCCCATAGACACGGCGAGCCCACAGGAAAACCAGCGACTCGAGACGATACACGTGGGCGCAGAAAAAATCGAGCATTTTGTGCGAGACTTCCTCCGGCTTCCTCCAAGTTTCACAGTTGGAAACCTTCGAAAAGGAGAGGTTTTGCAGCTTCGCCCATAGAAACGGCGAGCCCACAGGAAAACCAGCGACTCGAGACGAGACGCATGGGAGCAGCAAAACGAGCATTGTGCGAGACTTCCTCCAATTTTGACACTTTGTAGCTTCAAAATCGACGTTTTCCTACGAGTTTTCGTAGGAACCTCTACTTGGTGGTTCCTTTCTTGTTACACAAGTTGCAACTTAGTTGCGACACTTGTCGTGGTTCGAGAAGTTGCAAGTGAAGTTAGTAAAGTTATGGTTTCATTGTGATTTAATATTAGCCCTTAAATTCCTTAAGTTTAACTTACTGAACTTATAACTTCTTTAAGTTGTTTTGAAGCTAGAAAAGCTATAAGAAAAAACTTGTTTTATTTTTTTACCACGAACGCTGGCGTGAAGAGAGATCAATTTGCTTGGTTTTGATGCTTTTCTCCAGAATGTTTTGTTATAGCTGAAGATGATTTTGCGGCCCAATGGGCCGCAGTAATGGTACTTCTCTATAGATGGGAAGTGGCTGCTCATTGGTCCGCCTTGAAACTAATCCCAAGGGCTTGAAACTAATCATTGAACATTTCATTGAAACCAGACCTCAGTGAACTGAACTTTAAATAATTACGGTACCATTGACAATTAGCTGGACTGCTCAATGAGCCGCCTCCGAATCTAAGATTTTTGAGTCTGAAGATTCAACTTTGAAAAAGTATAAAGTGAAGTGGCTTTGCAATGATAGTGTTGTGATGCAGCGGATATGCAATAACAAAGGAAAGCTTTTGGAAAGCTTGGAAAGCTTTTCGCTCTGCATAGCGCAGTATGATTCGAAAGATCAACAGAAAAATATTCATAAAAGGTGAAAAATGTTACACACAGTTTTACATTATTATACAGTTATACAATGTTATACATTTTTATACATTTTGTTGTTCGAGTTATACATGTATAACTTCGTTTCTGTTTGAGTTATACATGTATAACTTCATTCTGCTGTTCGAGTTATACATGTATAACTTCATTTCTGTTTGAGTTATACATGTATAACTCGAACCACGTTTTAGTTATACCTTTTTATACATTATTTTACATTCTTATACATTCTTATACATTCTCATACATGCTTATACACTTTGTCACTTGTTTTTTTTTTTTTATGTCGTTTATAATGCATTTAGTGAGGACTTGTTGTGATAATCAGGTACATGTGAAACGAGTTGATTTACATTCACAGCTTTGTCATTTTTTGAAGGTATGTTTGAACTTGTGATTGGAAAATGTTGGGCTTGTGATTTGAACTTGGCTTGAAACATTTGTTAAGTCGACATGTATCACGCAAACATTGCTGCATTTTCCCAGCATCGACAACGACATCAAAACTGACTTCACCGTTTCATGTAGTCCAAGTCAACATCTCACTTCTGTTTCTTGTTCTTCTTTTTCTCTGTTTTCTTGTCCATGGTTTGGTCCATGGTTTGGTCGGTCTGCTGGGTATCAGGGGCAGCATCCTCGAAACGAAAAACCAAATTCGCAATGTTTTGCGAGTTCCAAAAGAAATCGCATTCTAGTAGCAGCATATAACATCTCTCCACGCCAAGCCATTAAAGAAGAGAATAGAAAAAAACAAGTATGATTTTTTAACATTGAAAAAGTTAACTTCCCTAAGTTCCTGTAAGTTTTTTTTCGGCTATTTTTAAACATCAGTGTAAAAAAACTTAGCAGAACTTAGCAACTTCTTCACGTCCAATAACATACATATAACTCATCCAAATTCAGCTCCCGAACTTACAAAACTTACGACATTTGCAAGGCTGTTACACCCAACTTGTAACCCAGCTGCAAGATACATGCAAGTTCCATTAGCAGAAAGGAACCACCAAGTAATTGCTACTTGAAAATCAATGTTTCGTGCGAGGCTTCCGTCAATTTTCAGCACATCTCACAAACTGCCACGCCTGCCACGGAATCTGCACCTTGTCGCGACTTGACGCAGTCCTGCCACTGCGATTTGTAAAAAACACGCAACACGACACGTCTAAAGTGCTGCGCCTGCCACGCGAAATGACGATGGACACGTCCAAAGTGCTGCGCCTGCCACGAAAACTGCCACGCATCGTGTGAAAACGTTGCAAAAGTATAGCGCCTGCCACACAAAACGATTTGAGACACGTTACAAAACACGTCTGAATGTCGCGAAGTGCCATGCCTGCCACGCGAAACGAAGCAACGCCACATGTGAAACCTCCAAAAATGACCCCTTCTGCAGAACTTACCATAGTCACGGCCATGAGGCCCTCACGCGGACGGTTGCGGACGGTTGCGGACGGTTGCGAACGTAAACGCAACGTCGAGCGAACACACCCTCAACCCCCAGACCCCCAGAGTGAAACGGGAAGTTTTGCTACGCATTCGGGAAAAATGTGCATAACATTATTTAATACTATTTATCTATATATACTATTGAATATTGTATCATCAGAAAGTTTCTTTTTGCTGAAGAACTACCTGCAAGCTGCATGCACTTCCTGCCGAGGCGTAGCGCACGCCACCATCAGTGACCCTTGGTGGAAGCTGCTGGGCTGCTGGGATGAGGAGTTACCTGATGTTTGGGCTGCAGATTGTCCTTTTTGTTTGCTGTCAGCATAAATCATTGGATTGTCATCATCGATGATTTCATATAATATCGCAAATTTCCCTGCAGATTGTCGGTATCTAAGATGTTCGCATATGTTTGCCATCCAAAAAGCGTTGCTATCGAACATGGTATATATCTTGAGCCACCCTGCCGCACCGAAACAACGACCTGGTTGTCGCTCTCAGACTTCGTTTCAAGCCGGCGGGATGCAATGTTCACAGAAAAGGGATTTAAGAAACTCAAAAAATGGTGGAAGTTGAAGTAGTTAATTAACCCCAAATAAACCCATAAAGTCCCCCTGGTGATCCTAAACATGGCGTGTTGGCTGTGGGTCAAAATTCAAGTACCCGCGTTTTCGCACCAAAATCGCCGGCAACGGGATGTTCCTCGCAAAACATATCTCTCGTCTCTCTCTTTGTTTTAAGCCATCCCCATATGTGCCATTGTCAAGAATTGGAATGACCATAACCCATTCATTCCATGTGTCGACCAAGGCACGACCATGATTGCTGGATCCATGTTTGGGGGTCATTTCCTTGGATGATATCCCACGATATTCCCATTAAAATATCACGATAAATTAGCCAATTATACCACCATATTTGGTGGTTATATCCCACTATATATACATATTATATATATATATACAATTTTCCATTAACAATCCCATGTGTTGGTTAAATCAAACACCATTGTTGTTGATTTAATCACCATTTTTGTTACTTATATCGCATTAATTGCCATTAATAATCCCATGTTTGTTGCTTAAATCACTGTTTCATGGCATTGCTTGGTTGACATGATCTTGCCCAAATCGCCATGTTCTCTCTCACCAGGTGTCGGAACAGCTGACCGTTACTGGCTATGAGTCCTTTGTAGGAACGTGACGGGGCCGGTTGTGAGGAATGTGGCTTTTGGAAGGCCGAAAATGGGTGTCTGAGCAGTATAACTGGTGAGATTTCATCGGATATCATATGCTGTTAGTCAAAAACAAATACCATGGCGTAAGGAGGATGCAACTAGCAAACAATGTGAGAGATCTATAGAACAATAATCAATACTGTAGATATGTCATTGGATATAATGTTGATACAATCATGTAGAAATATGTATATACGTTGGATCTAATTGGGATGTAGCTAACCGACAATGAGATGTAGTAGTCAATGTTTTACCAATAAGGAATTCCTAATGATGGGATGACCATTTCTTGCCAAAGGCAACCAAGCTTCAGACTTATCGGGTGCTACGAGATGTCTGAATCAGAATGCATACGACGAAGCATTCTATCCCGCTGGCGCCCAAGACGACCTGGTGATCAGGGCCTGAGATATTCCTGGAAGCGTCAAACCGCCAAGGTACAGCGATAGATTGCATTACTACTACTATTGAAGATAATGTGGATGTGTCTTAAAAAGGGGGGAATACTTCCAAGAATGATATCTGTTTAAACAGGAACATGAGGTTTTCAGCAAATTTCCAGAGATGATCGGATTTGGGGTGTGGCTAAACGATAAGTTTCTAATGATTGCTTCCGTTGGCTTTGTGGGTACATGGAGGAAATATATGCTTCAACAGACAGCAGGACCTGAATTTGCTAAAAATGATATGAACCATCCCCAAATTGCCGGTCAGTAGCATATTTCCACATTAGTAAGAAAATAACCGGCTTTGTCCTTGCAAATTGTTGCAGTTCCCTGTGATTACTTGAACTGTTTCGGTGTTCTAGTCTTTGTAGTGACTTGCAGGTATGATCGCAATAGATTAAGTATATAGAATACAAAGACTTACCAATATTATCGGTGGTTTCCAGGGTCTTGAAATGCCCAAATGTTGACTGACGCTCGTTCCAGTAGTGGCTAATATCCCAACCGTCGCTGTTTGTGACTATTGGATACTAGTGGATTCTCACAGACAATGCATGGATAGGCTCCAAACGGTTCCAATAATTCTCATTGTAAATGATTGATTTCCTTCGCTAAAACTGCACAACGGATCCTTTCTTGAGATCTTTGGCCAGGGCTTGTTTGGATGGTGATTGAATGGCCTTGCCCACAATTTGTGGGATATGGCATGGGTTGTAGGCCCATTTGTCCAGCGAGCACCCTAGTCTATATAGATCTCAAGGGTAGTCTTGCAACCCCTAACTCGTCGCAGGGTCCTAGAGGAAGGGTCTTGTTGGTTGTTTCTACGAGTTTTTAAATGTTCAACGATCTTCAACCCAACTGGATCATGATCCAAATCGACTTCGCACATATGTTTCAGATGATTTGAAACCACCAACCAGATAATATATATGTATATAAACTATATACATACATAAATTATAACATAGGTGCAACATATCTAACTGGGGATACTCCAGAAATACAGGATAACAATAGGTTTGGGATAAAACCAAGTGACTTTATAGGGGCCCTAGTGGCCCTAGCCCTGGATCGAGGACTGCAGCCGCGGCTTCTGGGTCACATGTTGCAAACCGGGTCAGAGTCTCGGGGTCCAAGTCGAGCGCGGCGCTGCGATCTATCCCGGTTGATTAAAAAATGGTGGTGATACTATATAGGGATTCTAGGTCAATCTTAGATGGGTACTTTAATCCTTTAGTCTTTTGGTATCAATGGGAATATCTACTAACCAGCAAAGAATTTAATTTTTTGCAGGGTATCTAAGATTGGCAATGGATTGAGGATAATCATAATCCCTTCAAAATGGTGGTATCCAAATCGATCCAAATCTATGAATATATTAGGGATTGAGGATAATCATAATCCAGTTTGGTTGATGTGTTTTTTCCCTATAGAGTTATACTATCCGATGTCTTGGACTATCTTAGTCCATGGGGCATCATGAAGCAGTGTGGCACCCTGAATAATCCATGCATCTATGCAGGATATGGTGATTTCTTAAGATTGAAGGAACCCAATTTCTGAATTGGTGTTCAATGGTTCTCTCATCAACATATCTGCATTTGTTTGATAATGTTGGAGTCCCTCATGTTGAGAAATTCCCATGTTGTTTCGGAAGATGGGGTCCTGCATTGACACATTGATGGCTGAAGGGAGGTTCAACCATGCCCTGCAGATGGAGAGAAGGAAAGGAAAGGAGCTGAGCGCAGAACTGAAAACGCTTGAGAAGAAGTTGGAGAAGGTACAAAGATCTACAGTAGAAGCGTGAATTTTGTCAGATTTCAATGCCAAATGCATCAAAACGGTATGCGCCGAAACCCTCCACGCAGTGATCGATTCGAATGCCGGTCCAATCCAGGAAGTTGTGAACCCGGGCCGGGGCCTGCGGAAAACTAAGAATCCTATGGATTGAATGGAAAATGTACGGTTGAAACGAGATGCTTAAGCTCTTTCTTCCGATAAAATATGGGAGTTCCCGTCCATTTCCGCTTAAACCAATCCATTGATATTGATGACGATGGTTGGGACGATTGCCGGCAGCATTTTGAGAAGGACCTATACTTCTACTAGCACGACTAGCTATGACCTGTCTGGGTCAAGTCACTGGGGGCCTTATATCCCAACAAATATGGGTGTTATTACCATGATGATATCAATTTATAGCCTTGACTGCAGCCCCAAGTACCCTGTACCCCCATGCCATCTCCCCAAACATGGCGACCCTGCCGTAAAAATCGGGGGGTTGGAAGCTTAGTTTCCACTAACGATTGATGATTTTCTACTGCAGAGTATATCCCCATTATATCCCCCACTAATCTCATATCCCCTCTGCCACCATTGTTGTTGGTTAAGTTTCCAGTTGTTATGGTTATTTAGTTTGCGCCAAAAAGGTCCATGACATTCCCACGAAAAATTCCCAGGTTAAGTCCCCATGTTTCGTGCTTATTCAAGTAGTCATTCTCATGATTTCACATGAATTTTCCATCATATTACCAGAGGATGGCCCCCCAGTTATAAGTTGGTTTATAAACCATTAAAACCCCCCATTAACTAGTTCGTTATATCTACCATAAACCATAGAATTCAGCCACTTATAAGGCAACTGAACGCTATCTTGGGGCTCAAACCACGCCACTTGGTCCGCTCTAGGTCTTCCTGCGGAGCCTGCGCCCTAGACAAAGGCGCCTGTCGTTGCCATGTCGTTGCGGGTAGGGTTCCTGGAAAGCACCAGGGGTTTGACGATGGAAACCAACAAAATGGTGCTTCATATAGTGATTGAGCCAACAAAATTGGGGATTAATTGTCATAAAACCAACCAACATGGTGATTTCACCGACAAAAACGCTGATTTAACTTGATTTAACTTGATTTAACTTGATTTAACTTGATTTAACTTGATTTAACTTGATTTAACTTGATTTAACTTGATTTAACTTGATTTAACTTGATTTAACTGGGAAAATTGGGAAAATTGGGATTTAATGAGATATAGCCCACAGAGATGTGGTTTCAACCCTGGTTCCCCAGGAAAAAAGTTGAAACCAAATAATATCTCAATATATCATACAATGTTCCATTGTATCACATTGTATCCCACAATAGATTTCCAATTAACATCCCAATGGGGGTGCTGGAGGAGGACCGAATTGTCGTGATGTGAATCTGACACCATTTCGGTGACCATAATTGCTGCGCACCCATTCTATCACCATTTTGAGCGTGAAAATTGCACTATCGTGAATTTATCCCCAAATAATCCAAGATATCTCAAATCATCCCCAACTTTGCTGATAATGTACCAGTTTTTGGTGCTTAAATCATTATTACCCAAGACCCTTCTACCATCCAGGAAATGAAGTAATCATTGAATTATGTCATTCACCCACCAAACTTTTTTGCTGAAGCCGCCCTTAGACTTGGAGGTTCAGTTAGGCTTCTACTTACAACTATGGTTCTAACCCATAAGTTGGGATATTGGACCTTATAACTATGGTTATACATTACAATATATATATATAATATATATAATATATATAATATATAATATATAATATATAATATATATAATATATATAATATATAATATATAATATATAATATATATAATATATATAATATATATATATATAATTTACAGTATATATATATACATATC